CAATACGTGAACACCAGGTCGGAGAAGTTGGCCTCCAGCCAGTCCCCCGCGATCATCTCGCTGAGCTCGGGCGTGCAGTAGTCGGGGAACTCGAAGTGGGAGCCCAGGCTGCCCTCGCTGAACGAATCCAAATCCTTATCCACCAGCGACAGGGACAGGTTCCCGGCCGCGCCGCCGCCCAGCTGCTGCTAAAGGAAGTAGGGGGTGGGGAGGGGAGGAAGGCCTAGAGAGAGAGAGAATCCTCCTCCCGCATTTTAATAACCAGCCATGGGAGGAAGAGGAGAAATAAACGGGCCCGCCGGCTGGGCGCTCTGCAGCCTGAACGGCCATCTCCGCGCCACTCCCCCCACGCGCGCACCAAGCTGGTCACGGACGGCGCTGGGACCGCGGGGCCTCCAGCTTGACTGCCGGAGAGACTGCTGGCGAGGTGACCCTATCAGTTCCAGCTGATTTATTATCATTATTGTCAAGATGCAGACTTCCAGCACACAAAAAACAAAACCAGGCGATGATGTCAACAGTGCATCGAGTCTGCTGCGCCACCATTTGCTACAACATCGGCAGATGGTCTGTACTTTATTTAGATCATATTGCACAAAATGAGAAACCTTTTAAACTATGTGCCTTCTTTCTTTTGCTAAAAATCGAGAATCCAGTTTTAAACCTCCCATCTGGGGCCCCAACCCACATGTCACAGCATCTGAGATACATCCAGTCCTACTATATAGTACAGTACATATACAGGCTTCCAACTATAACAGCTCTGAGGTCTAGATCACCATTTTCAATAAATCTTTACCTACAAATATCGAACAAATCTCTACTATAGCTGTACAAAAAAAAAGTTTGCTTTTTTTTTTTTCCTTTAAACCACAAGGCCTTTAGATGCAAGGATTATTTTAAAATTTTAATCCTTTTAAAACCAGGACATAACGTACCAACAAACTTGCATGCTAAAAAACAGAGGAAAAAAAGAAAAAAAGAAATTGAAAGGGAAGAAGTGCCTGAAAGTCTTACTGGAAAAACACAGCAAGAATGTTCCCTTTTCACTGTACAAAAATACGCCTGAAAATATATTAATTTTTAAAAAAGACTGAGGTCTGTTATGTATCAAAAATGTTTCAATACCTTTTGTACTGAGGTCTAGGCTGTCTGGTATTCAATCAAGGAGGTATAAGGGAACAGTTACCAAAAAACAAAACAAATAAAAAACGTTGGCAAGTAGAAATCACATTTGTAAAACCATAAACAATTGGATCTGAAAAGTAAGCTCTGAACGCCGTCAGTTCACAGTTTTTGTGAGCGTGTGTACAGTCTGCATGTTTTCAAGCTCCCTGCAGTTTTTGTTAAGAATCGGATGCGTAGAAGACATCAGCTTTCTCCCTCCAAAACAAAATAAAATTAAAAGTTGCCATGGTCCCTTTTTTTAGCTTTATTTTGTGTGTTTGTTTTCTTAAAAAATAAAAATTAAAAAAAACCCCACCAGTTCTCTAAGATCTCTTAAGAAAAAATAAAAATAAAAATATTCTCCAACCAACTCCCTAGCG